TATATTTGGTGACAGAGAATAAATAAGACGAGTATTCTATAGCCCTCGAGAAGTTCTATTAACTGGTTGTATTTAAAACAATTCAAAATAACAAGCGGTTGTAGGAGAACGTTTTTTCTTCTATCAATTTGGCCCAAAAACCATCGTTTTTAAACTGCAGTTTTGAGGTACACAGAATTTTTTTTATAATACGATCGAAATCGAATATTTTGAGATCGTGTTTATCTTTTCTTGAAGAAAAGTAATTTTTCTATAACATCCGAACAAAGAATGTTTAACAGGTCCACATCTTTTTCTGTACCATGGCGAAAGTCTAAAAATTTCCCTTTTCTTGATGAATTATAGTAAAATCGTCTTTTGTGATAGAAAAACACATTTAAAGCGAACCGACCCTTTGGTAGACGAAAAGAAACACGACACTTCGCAGCACCAGAACATATAGTTTTTGTTCCAATTTTTGTACAGCTCATCGTGTTCAGAATAAATGTTTTTTTGCCGAATTTTAAGATAGAAAGTAATGGAAATTGAAGCCTGACAATATTTTATCGATATTTGATGAACTTTTACTTCTAATTCAATGTTTCAATTTAGAATGATGCAGCTCGTAAACGTCCAAATTTAGATGATGAGAGTAAAGTGCCAAATTCCATAGATAATAATTCTCAGCAACCAAAAAAAATTCAACGTCTAGACAGTTCTAGCACAATGACAGCAACGGCAAGCTCTTTAAATGTATCTGAAACGCGTGATGTAAATGACTGTGATTATGATTTTACTTAAATGTTTGTTTTTTTATTGTTAAAGACGATAGGTCTAAACATTTTTGACAATATGTGTGTTATTATTGTATAATTTGTAAATAAATATGTGTTGACTTCGCTTTAGTTATTAGCAGTACTCATGTGTGTTTTTTTCTTTTGTCTATGTGTTGCTGTTTAACATAATGATGTTTATGATCTTTAAAAATGCAATTTTTATTTCTATACAAGAATAACAAACAGGACGACATAAAAATAAACCGATTTATTTAAGAAAACTATCATTTAATATTGGAGCTTTTTGTTGTGTCGGACTTGTACATGTAATTGGTGGTGTTGATTCACGTAAATTATAACTTTCAGTTATTGGTACACGTGGATGTTCGATCATCGTATACCAATGATCTCGATTAGCTCCCTCAAAATGTGGTCCAATACCCACGCATCCAATTAACTCATTTGCTCCTACTCGATCATAATCCATTACTTTAAATATTAAATCGGCATCTTCAACTGATTCAAGTGTAACATCAAATTCCATACTTTCATTATAAGTTGGATTTAGTGTATTATAAGCGACAGCTGTCTTCTTCTTTTTCACTTTACGTCCGTGTAAAAATAAAATTATTTTTATGTAAGGATCTAAGAATAAAAAAAATCGTTAAACAATTTAATATCGACTGTTGTATTTATAAAAAAAACGATTTACCTGATTTACCAGTAATATCCATTGGTTTAAGATTAGTTGCTTTCACCACTGTTACAGTGACACGTTTTGCATTTGGAAGATAACATAATGATATAGTTAATTCACCCAGATCTGGATCGCTCTGAAATAAAAGAAAATATCATTTACTTACAAAAAAAAAGATATGAGACAACTAAATAAAAAAATTAACATGAGATTTGGTTGATAACATGATTACTCGGATAATCGGAAAAAAAGTACGAAAAGTGAACAAAATGCGAATTATTTAATTTCTGCACTGTTTAGAGAACAATACTGAAAACAGAGCGTTTTTCTAATTTATTTTTTTCAGCAGACTGAAAAGAGAACGGAACCGCTTGAAAAAATAATTATTAACGAATAATGGGTTTTGATCTAGAAACAGATTACTTATTTTGATCGTTTAAAACAATTTTAAAAAAAAACCGAACCTTGTTCCCTTTTTTTTTGTAATATATACATTTCTACTTTTTTTGCATACAATGTCAAATATATATATATATAGGTCAACATAATTTACTATTCTAACAGGGTGACAAACAGTGAATAATTAATTAATGAGATGGTTCTCTACTCAGAATTCTGAGTCTTTCTCTTCTCGTTTTTTATTTTTTTTTTACGTTAAATAAAAACTTCTAAATTTCGAGAGATTCAGATCTTTTCATCATAAATTATAGTTGATATATTTTATCTTCTCATGCAGATGTTTTATTTTTATAATGAAAAATTTTTGAAAACAGTCGTCACGAACATAATACACTTTTATGAATAATAAATTATGCTTAGAGTATAATGCAAAAAAAAAGAAGAATGTGTTGATATTCAAGATACATGATAGAATTAATATATTGACAATATTTTGGTCTCTATAATCATCCCTAAAGAATAATTCATCAATTCACTATGGATCATATATTCTACTGTTAGTACACTTTTTCTTAAACTAATAGGGTTGTAGTACAATGGAACATGTAAATAATATTGTCCGTTGTTCATTCTTTACAGCATACATAAACTAGTATAAAACTAATCATCTATTTTATCGCGAAAGTGATCAATCTCTTCATCATCAGAACACCTGTCTCATATGAAATAATATCTTTTCATTTAGCTATAGAGTTATGTTCTATCAGGTCAAGTTGGAAAAGTAATTGGCATGCTTATCAACGGATGTACTGTGATAAAGACAGAAATGTAAACTATAAAATTCAATGAAATAAATGGATAAAAAGTATCAATTTATTTCACAACTGATGTGTTTCACCTTTCCAATATGTTGATTATTTTCGTTAAAAAGTTTTTCTTTGCTAAAAACAACGAAATTTATCTTAAAAACTAAGCTTTTTTAAACAACTTATAGCTAGATGTATGGGAAAATGTGTACCAACCTGGATACATATAATTAAAAGATATGCTATATGAGAACTATCAGAATTATGATAATCTATTGAGTCATTGGACGACATTTTTTAGTTGACAACAAAAGATTCTATCGATGGCAATAGATAAATTTTGAGTGATTGGAAATGAATAAAATAATAGAAGGACAAATTCTCATTTATGATGTCCCTGATGAGGTGTTTAGTAATTAAACATTTTCCATTTCAAAGATGGCTTAAAGCGCGGCCCCCCCCCCCCCCGCCCGCCCGGGCGGGGCGGGGGGGGGGGGGGGGGGGGGGGGGGGGGGGGGGGGGGGGGGGAGGGGATAGGG